GGCGGAAGCATGTGCTGAGGACACTAGAATAACTAGAAACATAAATAAAATTAATCTCACTTGTGAGAGTATAGAACATATGGAGGATCCAATTGACTTCATCACATCAACAGTTGAGGAAACAGCTGCCTTCACGGTTTCAATATCAGCCTGTCACAATGAATATTTTATCCACCTTTCATATATTGTTCTTTTTAAAATTAGAATCAATCACTTATCGTGAATTGACATACCCTTGCCCCGCCAGTGACTGGAAGACGGATAGTGCTTGCCTGTAGATCTTGGATAGCACGAGATAAAGAGCTAGTGTGATCCCTTTCAGTTAATGCCCACTCATTGAGATAGGCCATCTGAGTCAGTCATGTTCACATGAAAGCATTAGAAAATTGCATCAATCAAATAATGACCTTTGTAAATTGAAAGAATAAATGGATAAAAAGCAGCATAGATTGGTGTCTGAAATAGAGTAAATTACTAAAATGACCCTTAAATTACTCCACTAGTGTCAATACAACCCTTAAACTAATGTTATGCCAATAAAGCCCTCTAACTTCTTAATTGGAATCAATTGGCACTTTACGTCCAATTCCGTGAGATTTGGGGGTAGAATAGACACACATACTCTCACGAAATTGATCAAGAATTGTATTTTAGACTATTAACAGAAAGTCTCAAAAACCTAAACCCAGCATTCTCTTATCCAATGTCCAACCAGCCCGATCTGCTTTTTCTTCCTCCTCCACCATCACTACCACCCAAACAGTCACTGCAAGCCACAATTCGCAGAGTCCTCTATCACTTCTTGCATGACCATCGCACCACATAAAGCAGCCTTGTATTCCTTAGCTCGCCTAATTTCACACAGTCCTCTTTCTTTTTGTAACTCTCAAGTATGGTTACCATCACCATCGCATGACACCATCAATGCACACCCCCATTGCATGGCACAGCCCCAGCACATCTATGGAAGCAGTCACCACTAACACCCACCACCTAGGCACCACCTCAGAACACCCCAAAACACAATGGATCTCTCAATAAATCCAATAAGTAAATCCAAAATCAAAGATTTGGAAGCAGAGGACACGTAATTTTCGGATATATACGCGTCTCTGTAACTGTGTAGGTGATGAATTGCAAAACAGAACCACATCTACACACTACTCATGGAACTCAATGTGAAACTACAAGTTCACATAAGTGGCTTAAGAGAGGAAGATGTATTACTTGTTCATTCAAAACTGAGTACAGCTTCAGCTTCAGCCTCAGCTGTTGGAGGTCGATTCTCTTCTTGGTTACTGAATTCCACTGTTCTGAGGTAGTTCTCCACACATTACATAATGTTTTCTGCATCAAATCAAAAGATTGAAACTATTACTCGAACACTAAAGTTTAACAGAGGAGTAGTTCTATGTTAATATCTAATTTGGCAAGATGACAGAGTATGAATTGCATAAAGAATCCAAATATGTAACAATATATGCCAAAATATAACTACAAAAGATGTAAGATAAGTGAAGCAGATTTTTTTTTTTGGAACTGGAAATGAAGCATAATTCGGGGAGAGAAAACCAAAAATATTAAGCCTGTTTGCATTGATGCATAATAACCATCTTAGAATTATCTTTTGCATTTGTCTGGTAAATTCTGTTAACGAACGGAAAAAAAAAAAAAAGAATTATCTTTTGCACCAATCGTTATCATCATACTAAGCACCATTGCTATTATATTACAATCAATTAATTGTCGTTGTTTTTATTGTCATTATTGTTAATAGTACTACAATTATTATCGTTGTTTCAATATAGCTGCCTGTCCATCCACAAGAAGGCAATGACATTCTATACTAGACATACAAACTAGGCACTACAGGCATACGGGTAACAAGAAAGGTAACCAGACTTGGTTATATGACAGACTAAAAGGATTTGTAAAGCTCCATAAGCTTAATAATGTGCACCTCTGCTGTTACTTTCTGAAAATACAGGGCAGTATCTGCTTGGGCATTAGCATATCGCCATTGCCAGTGTCTATTGTACAGCAGCCGTAGCTGATGAACATCCTCTATATGGCTTGCAGCCGCCTTCCCTTTTCGAATATCAACAATAAAACTAAGGACGGAAGTTGAATTGTTGGATTGCCTGGAAGGACTGGATGGTCTTGTCCGAGATGGACTGGGCCCTCTCGAAGGAGTGGGATTTAAGGCCCTTGCTCGAGCTGGACTGACTCCTCTAGAAGCAGAGGATGATGTAACTGATTTCTTGTTTGGTGATGGAGGGCGTGATCCAGAACAAGGAAAATTTTGAGATCTGGTTGAGGGAGTCACTGATGCTGTTCTTTCTAATACATTTGAAGAAGTAGGTGGATTTTGTACCCGCAGTGCATTATCATCAACTGAACACCTTTCAAACTCTATCCTTGCATTTCCACTAAGTGATGATAGTAGTCTCTCTGCATCACTGGCAGACTTTTGTAAAGGTTTGGTCATACCATCCAATGACATTCTCCTCAGGCCTGATATTCCAATTCCCGGATGCGGTAAAGCTGAAGCTTTACTTGACTTATCAGAGAGATCCATGCTTCGGTTTAGAGCACTGGAGGATATCTTCCCACTTGTTCTGCTTGGCCATCTATGCTGATCTATCAGTCGAGCATGTAAGCCATCAACTGGTGTAGAATTCTCAGACTTATCATGGGTATTCTTTCCTTTTAAAGGACTCCTCTTTCTTTCTGGTGTAGGCTTTCGACAAACAGGTGTTGTTTCACCCCGTTTATGAGTTACATTGGAGGATGGCTTCAAAGTGCGATCTGAAAGAGCATTACCAACTGGTTTTTCTCTCTTACTAATGGGGAGAGAGAAAGTATCAGATTGAAATGATACACTGAGACTCCGCATTGTGGCTGGCCATAAAACCTCTGGTAACCGACTGCCAATCATCTTTCTGGATTCCAATTGCCCTTCTGTGGTCGCATCACGAACAGGTGTGGATGAACTTGGTGGTGATGGTGGCGTGGAGGGCCTTTTCCTCTCGGCCGATATAGCCCTCTTTGGTACTGATACCAATGATGATGTACTTGTTCTTGTAATATTCGGGGAAGGGCAACGCCTAGGACCAGAAGATACCGAGAGACTAGGTGACTTATACCTAGAACTAACTTCCCTCGTTCGAGACCGGCGGGTGGTTCCATTATTCTTCTCCGCCGGAAACAATGGTGGTCTTGGGGTCTCCTCTACCGAGTGCTTCTGTAATGCTTGTTCTGATTCACATACATCCATATAAACTGCCCAAATTCGACCACATTGATATCTCCTTTCATGTAACTCCCCACATTTAACAGGCTATCATGAAACCCAAATTCAACACTGTTACTATACCGATTGCTCAAAAAGAAGATCCTTTGCTATAAATCTGCCACAAAATTTACAACCAAAAGTAAGATTCTACAGCCAGGAAAAAAGAAAAGAACAACCCATAAGAGAAAAGGAAAAGCTAATCAAAAGAATAAATCTTTACACCCAGATCTGAATGAAAATGAATTTGTGACTTACAACACAGCAATGCAAATGGGTATTTTTGTAGTTGTTGAATTATCCCAAATTGAAGCAGATCAGACTCAGGCAATTGCAAAGAAGTGCTCAGGAAGTAGAGAAACATCTGAAGCTTTGAGTCAGAGAGGAGTAGGGTGAGAAATAGAGTAGAGATTAACAACAATTTGCAAAATAAGAAAAAAAGTAAGGTTGGGCCCTCAGTAATTGGGAAGTAACAGAGGGAGAAGTGGGGTGGGGGTGTAGGATAAGAGGTGGAAGCATTGCGTAGGATAAGAGTGATTCTTTCTTTTCCCCTTTTTTGGGGTCCCTAGCCTTTTGTTCTTCTCACGGGAGTGCCATGGTTGGGTGAGCTGGATATGCACCTACACACATACATTAACTGCCCCTCTGGCTTCTTTCTTCTTCCACACCCAACTAAGGGAATTCATTGAAAGTAAAACGAAAACAGAGCCCATATTCTGCTACGGAGAATTAGATATACGCAATGTTTTTATTCCTGTATACCCAAAGATATAAAAGTGGAACTCTCTCCCCTCTCTCTCTCTCACACACAGATTCTCTCTCTTCCTTCTATCTAACTTGTCCTTTTAGATGAGTGGGTAACATTCACACTCACATAGTAATTTTTTGTTGTACTTTAATTACTATTTGTTGTTTATTTCTGAAAAAACAAACATATTCTTGAAAAAAAATAAACATATTCCTGAATGATTATGTATTTTGCCTGTTAGCATTTTTCAATTTACATCAAATATAGAGAGAGTATCTGCAAATGATATGTCCAGAGGGTTATGGAATCAGACATGGAGGACCATGTGCAGATGGAGATCATTGTCCATCCCCATGACAGCATGACTTCACAGTATCACACACACACACACACACGCATGACATACAATTAAATATTCAATCTTCACATATATAATTCTGGCTTGGTTATGCGCAGAAACAGGAATAAATAATAATTTCTTATTTTACTCTCTCTATTTTTCACAGATTTAGCCATTTAGGAACCAAAAATAAATAAATAAATAAATTTCTTCAAAGAAAATATTATGAAATTTCAAGAACACAGAAGCTTCACAATATTTTTGTAAAACAATTTCGTATATTTTTACACATAAAGAAATAAATCATGATACTTCGCCTAATATTCGTTTAAATTGTAATAATCCAAAACCCCAGCAACGAACGCGGGAGAGAGAGAGAGAGAGAGAGATTTAATCCTTTTCGTGTCAATGAAATTTTCAGAAACCCAGAAAACAGAGACAAACGCGACCAAAAATTCTGGTAATTTTTGTTTCAATAACGGTAAATTTCATCCCAAACTCAATTTTTGATAACCGTAACCAATTCAATGAAATTCATACAATCGCGCAAACTGAACTTCAATAGATATACACAATCAGTAATTTATTTTTAACTTAAACAATTAAAATTTGAATCTAACCCGTGATCGATGAAGAGAATCGTCGGAAAAGTGATGAAAGATCGTCAGGTGGTCGTTGTAAAGGATATTTTCCGGCGAGAGATTGCTGCAGAGAGAAACAGAATAGATATGTGCAGATAGATAAAATTGTAAACAATATTAGGAAAAATATGGAGAGAGAGAGAGAGACAGAGATGAATTCAGTTGATGGACGTTGAGAATAAAATAATGAGGACAACGTTGTTTTCGCGCCACCTACTTTGATATTATTTTACCTTCACCCTATAAATTGAAGACAATGCAATTTGACGGAATTGTCCTTCGGGATTCTGCGTGGGATTGACGAAGTAATTTACTTGGGAGGGAACGGTCATTTATGCAAAGTTGAGTGAGTAGTAAATATTCCGGCGAATTATATTTTTTACCCCGAAAACTGTAAAATTTACAGAAAAATTAAATATTTTACATTGTACCTTCAATGTATTAAAAGTATTATATATGACTCTTTCTTTAATTTCTGTTACTCATTTCATCAACATCAATATGTTGGAGTTTCTGACTTGGTCTATAACGTTTTAACAAATTAACAGGCTTCTGATTTGGTCTTCAACGTTATAGCAAATAAATAGGTAGTAGTTTCCTAGTGGTTTTAAAGTACCTAATTTGTAGGAGTTTAATTCTGTTTTGTTTGTTATCCTTTTTTTTGTAAGGCTCTATAAAAGCCAGAGTTATTATTCAATAAAATTCAATTAGTTCCTTCATTTGGTATCAGAGCCAGTAAGGATCTGAGAAAAGAATTACACAAATTGAGTGTTTGAGAGGAAAAACACTAAGCAAATGGCAAGTGATTCAAGAAGCTTTGCTACACCTTGTGTTCCTAAATTCGATGGAGACTACGAGCATTGGAGTTTGGTCATGGAAAATCTCCTGCGTTCTAAAGAATATTGGAGTGTAATTCAATCTGGTTTCGAGGAACCAAAAGGAAACGAAGCACTAAATGCAGCCCAGCAAAAGGCAATCGACGAAGCAAGGATCAAAGATCTCAAAGCAAAGAATTATCTCTTTCAATCCATTGATAAGAGTATTCTGAAAACCATCATTCAAAAGGATACTGCCAAGCAATTGTGGGATTCAATGAAAATCAAATATCAAGGAAATGCTAGAGTTAAGCGAGCCCAGCTACAACGACTTCGCAGAACATTCGAAACTTTGGAGATGAAAGCAGGAGAAGGTGTTTCTGAGTATTTTGCAAGGGTTATGTCTATTGCAAATGACATGAGGAATTGCGGAGAAGATATGCCGGATGTCAAAATTGTTGAGAAAATACTTCGAAGTCTTACTGATAAATTCAATTTCGTAGTATGTTCAATTGAAGAATCCAAGGACATTGACAAATTAACAGTTGATGAATTACAAGCATCCTTGCTTGTACATGAACAAAAGGTGATTGATAAGAGGAGTGAAGAGCAGGTTCTTCAGGTGGAGAATGTATCAAAGTATGGCCAAGGAAGAGGCAGAGGGACATTCCAGAGAGGAAGAGGTTACTCTAGAGGACGGGGAAGAGGTAGATCTTTTGTGAACCGGTCGGCCATCAATTGTTTTCGATGTGGAAAGCAAGGACATTACCAATTTGAATGTCCGAGCTTAGAAAGAGAAACTGTCAATTATGCTGAATTTGACGAACAGGAAGAACTGCTATTGATGGCGTACACAAAAAAAACTGAAGGAGAAGGCATTTGGTTTCTTGACTCCGGGTGCTCAAATCATATGACAGGGAACAAAACATGGTTCGTTGAGCTTGACGAAAGTTTCAAACACACTGTCAGGTTGGGAAATAGTTCAAAAATGGCAGTTGAAGGAAGAGGCAGTGTCAGATTCGAAATTGAAGGTATCACACAAATCGTGACAAATGTTTACTATGTCCCCAACCTCACCAACAATTTGTTAAGCATAGGACAGCTACAGGAGAAGCGCTTGGTGATATTAATCAAAGAAGGAACCTGCAGAATCTATCATCAACAGAGGGGTTTGTTAATGAACACACAAATGACGACAAATCGCATGTTCATAGTTCATGCAAAGATGAAACCATTGGCTGACAAATGTTTGAAAATTGAAGATGAAGACTTGGAGGCTCTGTGGCACAAGAGGTATGGGCATTTGAATAATAAATCTATTCAAATCATGCAGCAAAAACAAATGGTGGAAGGATTACCCAAAATGAAGGAAGCTGTCAAAGTTTGCACAGTTTGCAATATAGGGAAGCAACAACGGCAGAAATTTCCAAAGAAAAGCAAATGGAGAGCATCAAACAAGCTGGAATTAATTCATGGAGATCTTTGTGGACCCATCACTCCAACTTCTCACAGTGGTAAGAAATACTTGCTGGTGCTTGTAGATGATTTTTCTCGCAAGACATGGATTTATTTTCTTGCAGATAAATCAGAAGCTTTTGAAACATTCAAAAACTTCAAAAATCTTGTTGAAAATGAAGCAAAAACAGCCATACGAGGATTCAGAACTGACCGGGGAGGAGAATTTACCTCGAATGAATTCAACAAGTTCTGTAAAGATAACGGGATCAAGCGACAACTGACAGCTGCTTACACTCCCCAGCAAAACGGAGTTGTAGAAAGAAGAAATCGAACCATCATGAACATGGTACGGTGTTTTTTATCTGAGAAAGAGATGCCAAAGAAGCTGTGGCCAGAAGCAGCTAGATGGACAGCTCATGTTTTGAATCGCAGCTATACAAAGGCAATCAAGAACATGGTTCCTGAGGAGAAGTGGTCGGGCATAAAACCAAATGTAGAATACTTCAGAGTATTTGGCTCAATTGCACATGTCCATATTCCTGAACAGAAGAGAACCAAACTTGATGATCGAAGTCTCAAATGTGTCTTACTTGGAGTTAGTAATGAATCCAAGGCATACCGTCTGTATGATCCAGTAACAGACAAGGTAATTGTGAGCAGGGATGTCATATTTGAAGAAGATGCAAAATGGGACTGGAATTTAAGCACAAAAAATGCAGAGCAGGAAGTGTTGGTTTGGGGAGACGATGATAATATTGCTGCAGAAGAATCAGAAGAAGGAGAAACTGATGGAGAAGGAGTCTCAAATGAAGAAACAAATGACAGGTTCGAAGAAATCCAAGAAATGGGTGAATCTTCTCCAGAGTTGCTACAACAAACAAGACAAAGGAGAGAGCCAGTTTGGATGCGCGATTATGAAACAGGTGAACACCTATCTGAAGAAGAAATCGAGGAGGGGTTAGCTTTTCACATGTCCAATGATGATCCTGTGAACTTTGAAGAAGCAGCAAAGGAAAAGAAATGGCAGGAGGCTATGAAGCTTGAAATTCAAGCTATTGAAAAAAATCAGACATGGGAGCTTGTGACATTGCCGCATCAAGCAAAGAAGATAGGTGTCAAATGGGTTTTTAAAACGAAACTGAATGAAGAAGGCAAAGTAGAAAAATGTAAAGCAAGACTTGTCGCTAAGGGATATTCGCAGAAAGCTGGAGTAGATTATAATGAAGTTTATGCACCAGTAGCTCGATGGGACACAATCAGAATTCTGGTGGCAGTAGCAGCTCAACGTGGATGGCGCATCTATCAACTTGATGTCAAAAGTGCTTTTCTATACGGTGAATTAAACGAGGAGGTATATGTTGATCAGCCAGAGGGTTTTGTCAAAGAGGGAGAAGAGAACAAGGTTTATCGACTAAGGAAAGCTCTCTACGGTTTGAAACAAGCACCAAGGGCCTGGTTCAGCAAAATCGAGAGTTATTTCAAGGAGGAAGGATTTGAGAAGAGTAATTATGATCACACCTTGTTTTTGAAAAGAATTGGAGGAAAATTGTTGCTGGTATGTCTCTATGTTGATGATTTGATTTACACAGGAGATGATGAGAATATGTGCAAATATTTCAAGTTATCAATGCAACAGAAGTTTGAGATGACAGACTTAGGAAAAATGAAGTTCTTCCTTGGAGTTGAAGTCTGTCAAAACGAAGAAGGAATTCATTTGTGCCAAAAGAAGTACGCTAAGGAAGTATTGGAAAGATTCAATATGTCGAATTGCAATGCCGTAAAGAATCCAATAGTTCCTGGCACTGTCTTATCAAAGTCAGGTAGCAAAAGTGTCGATGCAACATTATACAAACAACTAGTAGGATGCTTAATGTACCTTACGGTAACTCGTCCTGACTTAATGTTTGTGGTTTGCTTGATTTCTCGTTTTATGGCTGATCCTAAAGAAGAACATATGCTGATTGCTAAAAGGGTTTTGAGATATTTAAAAGGCACATTAGATGTTGGAGTCTTTTACAAATGGAGTAAGGATGTAAATCTTTTGGGATACACAGACAGTGATTATGCACGAGATATTGACGACAGGAAGAGTACTTCAGGCTATGTTTTCCTTCTAAATGGAGCAGCAATATGTTGGAGTTCAAGGAAACAGGGAATTGTCACACTATCATCTACAGAAGCTGAATATGTAGCTGCCACTGCAAGTGCATGTCATAGTGTTTGGCTTAAGGGAATTCTGAAGGAGCTAGATGTTCTAAGCAGCGAGTGCATCGATATCATGTGTGACAGTAGTTCAGCAATCAAATTGTCTAAGAATCCAGTTATGCATCGTAGGACAAAACATATTGATGTCAGGTACCATTACTTGCGAAATTTGTCAACAAATGGAACTGTACGGTTAGTGTTTTGCGGAACTGAAGATCAAGTGGCAGACATAATGACTAAACCAATTAAGCTAGATCAATTTGTGAAATTCAGAGGCATGCTTGGAGTTCGAAGACTTGAGTAAACTGATGCTGTTTCAGCATACTTCAGTTTACGGGGAGGAATTTGTTGGAGTTTCTGACTTGGTCTATAACGTTTTAACAAATTAACAGGCTTCTGATTTGGTCTTCAACGTTATAGCAAATAAATAGGTAGTAGTTTCCTAGTGGTTTTAAAGTACCTAATTTGTAGGAGTTTAATTCTGTTTTGTTTGTTATCCTTTTTTTTGTAAGGCTCTATAAAAGCCAGAGTTATTATTCAATAAAATTCAATTAGTTCCTTCACAATAGAGTAAGTTTTTGACGGAATAAGTAACAAAAAAAAATTTGGATAATATGAGAAATTTTATTTTTGAGATAATAAAATGATAAATTTTAAATTTTTTTACTGCAAAGTGAGATTCTCTAAAAATTCAGTCTAAAGCGATTACACCAGGTCAGAATTTATTAATGCAATTCTCATTTTTCATAAAAAATTATCACCATTCAAATGTGACCTTATATTTTTTAAGTTTGATTTTATAAATTTGATAATCAAGCGTGCCACATGCTACAAGTAACGATGTCACATAACTT